CTGTGTAAACACAATATATAAAGATTACTTTGGACATGGCAAGTGTTTTAGCCATCCAGGACAAATAGGTTAAAAATGTGTGACAGGTTCTTTTTCTAATGGATCTGAATAACTCACACAATATACTCATCATAAAATTTCATGTGTTCATTCAGGAACACAAATACAAACTCACATCTTACACAAAATAGCTGTATGTAAAGCATGATTTAATCAAAGTGTAAGTTTGTACAAAAAGATTAATATAAAACATATAAAATCAATACAAATTTTTAAGAGAATATCTATACTTGATAAAGAAAACTGAATGGACCAAGTAAATTTGAACTAGGACTCGAGAATAAATCAAGCAATAAAAAAATAACCAAATGCTACAAACAATAATCCTCTATTATAAATAATAACTAAAGAAACCTGCAGAAACTACAATCAACAAACATTTATATGATTAGGAAATCAGACAAGCTGTTTTATTTAATAATCATACTTTGCCAAATATAAAACTAACTTGATAAGTAGCAGCATCAAGATTGGAGAGTGCAATGAAGAGAAGGTTATTTTGCACCACATACAAGCAAGCAGGGACAGCTAACTTGAATGTCTCCCACACATTCATGAGCACATCACGATAAAGGCGATGTAATGTTACTCTTAGCACTTTTCCTGAAAGATGAGATATGATGTTAAACTACTAAAAGAATTAGATAAATCATATGAAACATAAATGAGTATCGGTTTATATTCCCACAACTTTCTATAGATTTTGCATTTTGCTTCAAATATCAATCCAGATGAATTCCAAATCACACTACTTTCAACAAATAAAATGTAATATGTAACTTTTGGTATAGCTAGCTAGTTGATCATGGTTACTTATATAGCAAGGTAGAGCTCGTAGACCTTTCTGGCATCTTATTGTCATATAAGGATCCAAATCAGCTGTCTTACCAGAAAACATATGGTGGAGGTTTGAGAACCAAAGACTTTATGCGAATATTGAATTTGACTAAATTTGATGACAAAGTACAGTATCTGTTGTTGAGAATTCAGAGTTGTATTATCAAAATTCTAATGTGATCATGCTTGATCATGCAATGCAACTTCAAACAATAGCTGCACACAAGTTAAATAGAGGTTCAATCCCTGAAAATGGAGCTGCCTTAATTGAGTAAATTGTTAAAATGCAACTTCAAGCTAAGCTGCCCCACATAAGCATCACTTATGATAAGGGCAGTTTCCCTTCCTGTAATTGTAATGAATGGCATGTAGTGACTATAAACTAATAAATCTGGTAGTGTTAGCATCTTTTTTGGCCTCAAGGAATCCTCTCCCCTATCCCTTTGCTTCCTGCCATTTCCTTCCATCCAATCCCTCCTCTATACCTCCTCCACATCATCAGAAACTACTGCATCCACCATCCCACTCCCTAGTCCCTTCCTTGAAGACAGGGGTTCCTAACCTGGGGTACATGGATGGGTTTCTTGGGATCCATGAAGATGAAATAAAAATTAACATTTACATTAGTGTCTTTTTTCAGAGTGATTCCTTTAAAGTATATCTCATATGTGTGTCTGACCATCAAATCCAATAAATAAAGTACATTATACACATTACAAGCAAAATAGTTTTTATGAGAATATTTCTGAGGAAGGGAGTCCACAATTTTCAGCTACTAAAATTGATGAAAAGGGTGAACGGGCGAGACAGGCAGTACTCGTAACTGGCTCATTGGTGATTTAGTACAAAGTGTAGCCATCTATGTGTAAAAACAATTAAACAAGTAAACTCACAATGGGCATGGCATGAACATATATGCCATGCCCGTTGGCAAAGGGTTAAGGTTGTTGTCACACTACTATAGTTTCATAGCAGATTCTTGAATATCTAAAAAATACATAAATTAACCCATTCGAGCCGGGTGTCACGTATAAGTGACAGGCCCACTGTGAGTTTACTTGTTTAATTGTTTTTACACACTTATGGCTACATTTGTACTTGTACGGCCTGTGTCGTTTGTTTACCCTTTTCTTTAATTTATGAAAATATTTTACGTTATCTTATTTTGCTGTTACTAATGTTCATAATATTATAGTAATTATAATGTTTATAATAAAAATAACCATCGATATTCATAGCATTAGTAAAAAATGCATTTTCCCGCCAAATGAAATCAGGTAAGGCAGCGCCATCTAGTGTAGAGAAATTTCGCAAAAAGTATAAAAAATGAGCACAGCATTTTTCGTCAATTTTTGTTCATTTGTGTGTGAATGGGTTAAGGAGCACACATGCATTCTTCATAAATATTTTGACCATGCCCACTTTCCAGCCATAAAATGGCTGCAGAGTGACATGGTCATTTATTAAGTGTCTGGTTAGTAATAGACTGTTTTCATTTAGCAGACTCCTATTATTTCTACATACACTGTCCACTATGATTTTATCTAATTCATGACAGGACTTCCTGGTGCCATACCAATTCCCACACCAGGAATCTTGCACAGTCGAGTGAAAAACTGTAAGTGTAGAGATTGTACTTTTATCCTATTCTCAATATTTTTGATTGTGGCATAAAAAACTGCTTAGAAAATGAGTCGAAAAATAAAAAAGACTTTCAGCCTACATTTGTGAGGCTATTTCTCTAACCACAGTCAGGGCCAAACAAGAGAACAACTCTTTAACATGCACAAATTAGAGCGGGCTCAACCATACATGACACTACAATGTTATTCACTATGTGTGGGTTAATTAACCCATTGCCGCCGGGGATGGCATGTACACTTCCGGTTGGCAACTCTGACACTCTAGAGCACTTTCAAAACAAACCAGACACAAAACAAAGTGAAAATTATTAAATCAAAATGCCATCACCAATATACCCATTTCCACATATACAATTTAGAGAAGTTGAAAATGAAAGTCACTGAATATAATATCAGCAGAAGAATGTTATTAGAAATTTTGAAAACTGATTTCTGCCTTTAAGAACTGTTGGTTGGCATATTACTTTCCATACAATATGAGATAATAACAGTAAAAACAAAAATAGAGATAATAATAATGATAATGATGATTATGCATAGTATCATTATTATCATCAATGTCAATATTAATGTCAGTGTCATTGTCATTGTCACTATCTTTGTCACTGTCATCATTATTGTTACTGTTTCTATTACTATTATTATTGTTACCGTCATTATTATTATAACTATTATTACTATTATTATCATTATTATTATTATTATTATTATTACTATTATTATTATTATTATAATGCTGTTGCTGCTGCTGATGATGATGATGATGAAAATAATAATAATATTATTATTATTATTATTATTATTATTATTATTATTATTACTATTATTATTATCATTATATGCTGCTGCTGCTGCTGATGATGATGATGATGATGATAATAATAATAATGGTAGTGATAACAGCAAAAATAATAATAGTAACAGTTAATAACAATTCATCACGGTAACAGAAAGAAGAAAACAAAGTTACTAGAAAAGTGGAAAAAAAAACTCAGGGATCTCCTAGTAATAGATAATATATTAATTAAATTAAATGAATGACAGATACTCCTATTCTCTAGAATGCCTAACACTGTTGGTATGTAATGGGAGGACATACAATAAGAAACAAGTCTTTTTCTTTACACTAAATTCAATTTTCCTTCAAGTGATTTGTTTACTAAAAATTGTTTAGTATGAATAGTCCCATAATAATTTCTTTATGATATAATCTTATCTGCTAATCAATCATCAAATTTATAAAGATAGATAAATAGATAGGTGGATAGAGATAGATAGACAAGTAAATTTATAACTCATCTGCCTTAGTTTTACTACAGACTTTAATATTCAATAACCTGAAAGCAGTATTAAAGCCATTTATTATTCTTAATAACTGCAATTGTCAAACTATAAATATATATGATTAGAACTACTTAAATACTTTCTATGATCAACAGAAAAAGGAGATTAAGTTTCCATATCTACAGACTGTATATAGAAAGAAGGAAAGAAAGAAAGCAAGAAAGCAAGAAAGAAAGATAGAAGGAAAGAAAAAAGAAACAGGCAGCTAATAATAGAAAAAATAAACACTAGTTGTTTCTGATAATGAAATAACAAAAGATGCTATTTAAATTAATCTGTGCAATGAAATAGAATGGTTCAATCTGCCATTAAATAGTGTGCCCATAATGATACAAGCGATGCTGCAGCAAAGGCCAATAAATACTTTCCATGTGTATTCTGACAAGATAATGTTTGTAGATCTCTCTTTATTGTCTCATAAAGATTCGGCCCAAGCTCTACACTTCAATTTGTAAGACCATACCAATGCTAGACCTTGCAATAAACAAAGAGAAGAGTTAATGGCCTTTGCTAGAGCACCAAGCAAGCATGCCCAGCATTGTCAATTATTATTTTAATTCTAGACTGTTGTTTTTTTACATAATTAATTTATCATTTCAGACTTATTCACTTGAAATGTTCTCTATTTCAATGAACAGTAGGTATATTCTTCATTTCAAGAGATGAGGCTTTTAAAAATGAGGGAGTAATTCGTCATGTTCTCAAGATTTATACCTTATACGAAAACCTTTTTCATTTCCATAATCTCCTTTATCTCATTCCATTTGCAGTAAATTTCAATGGCTTTAAGTAGAAATTACAAAAACAAAAACCATGAAAATTTATTCCTCTGATGAAATATTAAGTGGAGTTCTTGGCCAACCTCCACATTCAAAGGTTTGTAACCACTACGGTACACAAACAACACTGTTACCATGGTGATGGTGCACCGTTTGACTTAATAAGTGAAAGTCCAGCCATCTACAGGCAGCTTGAGAAAGCAAGAAAAATTCTTGACATAGCAAGAAGTCTTGAGATTCTAGGAAAGAAAATTCCCTGTCTTAAGTGTTCAAAAACTAAGCCTGTTTGATCCTTGTTTACCTCTTTCCTTGAATTAAGAAACAAACAAACAAGTTTTAATTTTTGTTATAATAATAATAATGTTAATAATACTAATGTTTAAAATAAAACCTTTTCACCTTTTTCAGTTTGACCATCTGTAGGTAAACAAAATTGACAAAATAAAACTACAGAGGAAAGTGCACATCCCAGCATCACTGGGTAAAAGACCAAATTTGCTTTTGGTGTATGAAAATTTGAAAATGAGATACTGTTCAGAAACATTAGAGTTTTAAGTTCCAAAATATAAAGAAACTAATGGTGTGGGTTTAAATACCTTCTTCACTCACCCAAGGTTACCCCTCGTGCATAGCACAACAATATGAAAGTTATGATTATTTTCTGTCCTTGTGTGCTAATTCTTCTTTATCATGTTGCACTCTAAAACCTTTTTCTTCTTCATCATCATCATTAGTGCTCACTTCACATATCCAGCCATACATATGCTTCTGATCATTCTATACATGTGCTGGCAATTCATTTCTAAACACTGAGGATGTGTATGATAAAAAGCAAGATAACGTGTTTTGAAAGCACTATAATGGAAGAATGAGGAAAAGAATTTCATCTTTTTCTAAAATCTAGGAGCGTAAACACACTAGGTGTAACCATACCTTTACCACTTGTATGGTTCTATAAAAAGAATTTGGGCAATAAACTTCAGATGTTACAGACGTTACATTTTCTATCAATAGATCATAAACAAACTGCCTTAAATGGAATGTTGCAAAGCATTCTGCATGGAAAAAAATATAAATAATCTAAACAATTAAGAGAAATGCTGCAAGAAAATTATAGCACATGCATATATAACAGTCATATATAAATGTCAAGCTGATCCATTCATTTGGAAAAAAAAATTCTTCACTATTCAAAGCATGTGTACCTGTATTTAGGAGATATATGAACAACACTAAATAAAGGTTCTTATTTCAATGCTCAATGTATTGCATACACTTCATAATACAAGAACTGTATTCTGGAATTTTCAATTCTTATCTTCCATTACACACTATAATGATGGCCTGATCTATAAAAATTGTACAGTTCTCAGGTTAAAATTGTAGGCCAGATGGAGAAAAACTAAATCTAGAGGGCACACATATTTCAGGATCATTAATCTTTTGCTGGCCATTCAGTGTTTCTAATGTCTTTATATCACTGCCTAGAATTTTTAGCTGGACTAGCTGGAGCTGGAGATTTTTGTGACCATGCACACCAATTTTCTTTTAATTAACATCGTTGGCCTTTCATGGCAGTTCAAAGGGAGTTTCAGGGAAATGTGGATAGACCACAGCCAATATAGACACAAGAAAAAAATATATTGAAAGCAACAGTGGATAAACATTTGAAACATTCACCAACCAAGCCCTACAAAAACAAATGCACAATATGCAAGTACACAGCTGCACTTTCAAGTATTTCAAGTAAAGGTAGGTATACTTACCAGCCTCTATATGTAAAAAGCCTAAAGAAAGACCCAGTTTCAGAATTTCTGACAACAGGACTGCAGTTGTTATAATGTACGGTGTTTGGTTGCTCGTGGTAGGCGTACGGCTGTACCGGAGGAGCAATACCATGGTTGAAGTCTGCACTGACAACACTATCAAGCTGAGGGTTTTGATGCTGAACAGATGCTTCTTCAACCATCCACCTGAGGCTTGGTCATCCCAAGCTGTGGTTCTCATTAGCCCACCCATGGTAACGTATCTGCAATGATAGTATAGAATATACAATTCACTGATGAAACCTAGAAACCCATAAAGATATGAATTTGAACTAAATACACTAACAAGATCAAAATGATGTTAGTATTCCATGAAAGCTCCAATCCATAAAGTAGAGGTACATGAAAAAAAGACAAAAAACAGTGTAAGATTTGAAGGATAGTCTTAAAAGTACTTGACTTGATTCTGGTCAAAACCTCAGATTCTTGAAATTGTGAGGAAAATGAACCAAGCAAATAAAAAATAAAGATTACAACTTTACCTACTGGATTATCTCCCCAAACCTTGATAACTCGTTAGTGCTAAAGCATCACACTAGTCACACATGTATATATTTATAATGCACTTACATGGTTTCTTGAATGAGTTCTACTCTTCCCTCTACACTCTGCTGACTCAGTAAGTATACTGATGTGGCTTCTGTGGCTCATAATAGGAATCTACGCAGGTATGTAGATTGAGAGATATACATCCAGCATTAAATACATTCTTTGGCCTAGCATGAAGTATGGTTATCTTCTAGAGATAATAAGGTACTGCTACTAGATACATGGTGTATCTATATAGCACTTTTAAACAGTGAGGCACTAATTCTGTCAACCATACAATTTAATCTTTCACAATCTCTCAGTATTGCTTTCATCTTATTCAATTATAGTCATTATCACACTTAAATATGTACTCCATCTCACTCTCAGCAGGAATATTCATTACATATATTACCAATTAATCCAATAAATGGCAACCCAGCAGCTTTTGTATATTCTTAATCTTTGCTGAATGTTACTTCT